TCTTAGTCTATGCAGTTACTCCAGCTTCTCTACCCCCCACCCCAGGCTCCTTTTCCGCACTTTTCCCTTCCTCCTCATCCCTAAGGTTTTAGCACTTCATTACGGAGATCAACTCAGCTTCTCTCCCAGCAAAAAATAACACTTCTTTGGGAGAGGAGGGGAGTAAGGCTGGTAAGATTCTAGCAAATACAAGATTGTCTTAGGCAAGACGGAGAAGCAGAAGCCCGTGAGCATTCTCGCATCAATGACATCTGTCCCATCACAGTTATGAAACACTCACGCTGTGCCCAGACTGGGCACCCAACCCAGAAGATCAGAATCTGCCTGGAGTCGGGAACAGTGTTTGAAACGCCGGGACAGATTGCATGTATGATAAAGAAAGAGTTAAAAACGGTGAGAACGTATAGCAAGACTACTCCCATGTACTCCATCTCTGACTTACTCCCACATACTGTCCAGTCCCCTCGCCTGCACTCAAACCCACACTTCTCCTCCATCTATTACTGCCCCCATAATCCCTGCCATTTCCCATTCAAAATCCATTCTTTCCTCTTCTTGAAACTAAACAGCAACAGACGGTGTCAGAAGCCCCAGCACAACACGTCCCCCACCTGCAACTCAGTGCTGGCAGAGCTTTTCACTCTGAAGATAAAGAAAAGGGTTAAAACGTAAATACTCTTATGAGTGACATAAGAAACACTCAAGTGAGTGGCAAATCAGATGTTCTTCTAAATACAGATTTTGTGTGTGTGTGTGTGAGGAAGACTGGCCCTGCGCTAACACCCGTTGCCAATCCTCCTCTTTTTGCTTGAGGAAGAGTGGCCCTGGGCTAACATCCGTGCCCATCTTCCTCTATTTTGTATGTGGGATGCCGCCACAGCATCACTTGACGAGTGGTGTGTAGGTCTGTGCCCAGGATCCGAACCCACGAAGCCCAGACCTCCGAAGCAGAGTGCACGAACTTAACCACTACGCCACTGGCCGGCCCCAGTATAGATTTTCATGGAAGAGGCAAAGCTGAAGAACTGGAAAGGGGGAGAATCTTGAGATAATTTTCTTAGACTTTTCATTTTTTCTAGGGCTGAGTCCAGACAAAACTCTTGATTTCTTTGTGATGGGATGGGGTGAAGATCTAGTCAGGGTCATCCACACAACCATGTTTTCCAGAGTGGATGTTTTCTTTTCCTTCCATGGACCCAAACTCAAAACCGCACTTCAACCCAGAACCTTGTACAACAGTGTTCACACGTGTTCTGAAGGATGTTCTTGGGTGTTATGAGAAAATGTAACCTATGCTCCAATAAATTTGGGGATTTAATGGCCTAATGCACATTAGGCCTAATGGCCTAATGGCCAGCTCAAGAGTGGAATAGAAAATACAGTGTTTCCCTAACACAGCAGTTGTCAGAAGGTGGTCTGTATAACTCAGGGAACCAGTATTTTTCAATACATTATCAATGCATGATGTTACAGAATCGTGTATGCTTAAAAGAGTCATTAAAGTGCAAGATAGACCAATGGATTTTAATATAACAAAGTGCAAAAAGTGCTTTGCTATCGTTTCAAATTTCATATTACAACAAATCTTGAAGAAACTACCACTTGTCGAATTTTAGTATAGTATTAAAGAAAAATATCCACAATTTTCTAAAAAGGCTATAAAGTATTTCTCCATTTTCCTACTGTACATCTATAGAGGCCAAATTTCTTCATATACTCAACCAAATCAACATATACAACAGAATGAATTGAGACGCAGCTGAGAATCCAGTAGTTGTCTATTAATCCAGATGTTAAAGCGAGTTGCCAAAAAACCCAACAAAAATAAAACTATGCCACTCATCACTAAATTTTTTTGGAAAATATAGTTATTTTCACAAAAATATTATTTATGCTAACATGTAAGGGGCTTATTACTTTTGTTTTTTAATAAATGAAGAAATTTACAATTTATTATAAATAATAATAATAAATAATAAATTTATAAAATAATAGACTTTTATAATTAATTATTATAATTAAATTATAAAGGTTATAAAATAACAAACCTTTATAATTTCTCAGTTTTAATTTCTAATACAGTAAGTATTAATATATATAACCCATATAAACTAATGCTCTTTGAGATCCTCAATAGTTTTTAAGAGTGAACAGGGGTCCTCAGATCTAAAAGTTTGAGACGCTACCCTAATGCATTTTGATGATGGAAGCCTTTCTCTGTGGAACACCTTGAGTACATTCTATGGAATATACAATGGGAAACACAACTTCACATTGTGCTAATAAAATTATTCCTTTCTGTGCCTCTTCTCCCTAGACATTCTTCAGTAAGTTAATGTATATGCTGATCAAATGGTTTCTTCTCAAACAGCAGTTTTGTGCTTATCACCGTGGCAGTAAATGCATATACCTCCTCTGCCAAACACAGTTGTTTGACCTGATCTATTTAGAAGAGGCCTTAACCTGGAGAACTACTTCACTGAGCAAATGTTACAAATAGTCAAGAGAAATGATGACATAGGTTAACAAGCTCCTATAGCAGATAAGCCTCTGCTCTGAGATCCAGAGCCAGGGATGTCCCAAGAACATAAAAGATATCACACCAGTTAGAATCACAGCCAATTTGGTTTACCGGTTTCCAGCAATAAGAGAATCACTGATTGAAATACCTAAGAGAATCACTGATTGAAATACCTATGTTATAAATCACTCTTTTATAAAATGAGCAGGATGACAGCAATTCATTACTCTGAGTACTGGCACTTTGTGTTTGTAAAAATTGTATGCAAGCCAAAAATAACTTAAGAACTAATTCATATTTCTACCATGGCTTTTTAGAACACAGAGTAAGGCCAATTCTCTCCTTTCAGCAAGACTGGAAGCCCGAATTACAGAATTTAATTATAAATCTCTTCTTCCTGTCAGGTCTCTGAATGGCCAGAAGCCTGTTCTCAGATGGCTGTAAAAGATTTTGGGCAAGAGTCAAAAGTATAAAGTGCTGAACAACTCTTCTATGGAAAAACTCTCCCCAAGGAAACTCAGTCCTTATAGAGAGCTGGCCTGAGTACAGGCTGTTCAGTCCTCTAATTTTCATTCTGGAATTTGCCCAAATAACAGGAACCATTAAGTTTATTTATGTAGCTTGCTAAGTGTCTAGCTTACAAAATGTTGCTCCAGGATGACCAGGTTTTCATCCTGTGAGCTGAAGACACTTGTCTTGGTCTCCTTTTTCTTTTGACCTAAGACTTGAAATGAAATTAGCATATAATCTGCTTCCAGTCAAACTTTCTTTAATGAAAATTTCTTATGGCCATAAATGCTTACTAAGTTTTAGGTCCTGTTCTAGCTCATTTGTTCCTCCAGAAACTCTATGAGATAGACACTATAATTATCCCCATTTTACAGATGAGAAAGGCTCAGTGCTGCCTGAGGCCACCCAGTTTATAGGTGGTGGACAGGACTGGAATCCAGGAAGTTAGTCCCTCTGAACCAGGATGCTATCCTGCTCATTTGAGGTACATGGACAATAACGTTAAATGATTTATAAGAAAAAGATACCTAATTCTGTGGGTAAAATAGTGGTTTTAAGCTCTATTAGCTCTATCAGATTAGCCTTTATTTCAAAAAGCCTTCCTTTCACTCTGGTGTGTTAGGCTCCATTCTGTCTTCCCATCATGCCCTGGGGACCACGCGGTATTTACCTATTGATGCTTCTGCCATCCTTCTAGCCTGTACTAATATCCTCTCCAATGGTACTTGGAGCAGCAGTTACTGAATGAATGAGTAAAAAAGACCGAGGAACGAACAAACAAAAGTGACTCTCCGCAAACCTACTTAGTCACCCAAGAACATTAATTTCCAAATGAGGCTTGTGCACCCTGGAGGGTGTGCAAAAAAACCCAGTGGGGGCAGGGAGAAATCATTAGCACTTCTATTTCTATTTACTGACATTTACCACATGGGTTGACCCTGGCGTCCTCACTCAGTGCGCGTGGCCGACAGCCACAGAGGCGTGCCGGCACTCCTCAGCTCACAGGGCTACAGTGGGGCCCTCACCTCTTCGTTTGCTTTCTGTAGATTCTACCAAATTGCAGTTTACATGGTCCCAATTGAGAAAGTAGCTGTACGGATTATATTGCCAATTTTATCTAAACCAACCCTCACAAAATGAACAAGTGGCTTCAAACGAGTCCTGCACAGGACTGCAAACAATGCTAACAACAATGCAAGCCCAAACGAAGAGGAAAATAGCAGAGCTGATGACATTTTTACCACTTCTCATATAATATTTTTCTCAGCCACATCATGAGATACAACAATAACAAGCTAATCAGATCTGACATGAAGTTGGCAAAAAACAATAGCAACAGAAACCCTGAAAGTATCAACACTTAGATTCATAGCCACTGTTTCTATCAATGGTCTTTGCCTAAGTGAACATTGCACCTTGGGAAATTGGCTAATAGTATTCTTATACAGTTTATAAATAAATCTACTTTTATTAATAGGATCAAAAAATGCGGAGCTCACTGATCTAGAACTTTGCTTCTCAAAGTGCAATCGGTAAAGGGGCAGCATCAGCAGCACCTAGCAGCTTGTTAGAAATGCAGAGTCTCAGGGCTATACCTGACCTATTGGATCAGAATTTGCGTTTTAACAAGATTCCCTGGTGATTCATATGCACATTTCTGTTTGAGAATCACTGCTTTAGAACACAATCTTTAATGTTCTGAATCCTAACAGTTCAGCTCTTATTTATAATTTTAGACAGATTTCTCTGTTAAATTTTTGAACTTTTATAATTTCTAATATGTTACCAAATGTTCTTCAAGACTATAAAGAAACTATCCCATAATTCAAAATTCCAGTGAAATACTCTCTGTATGACTGCAGCATGATCTCTTATTCATTCCAGGATACTTAAAATCAATGTTCTGACCCCCATACAATAAAAACCATCCAGCCACACCTTAACCTTTTTGATCCCCAACTCCACTTACTTTTGTTTGATCATCAGCTTTGAACACATAGCAGATACTCTGCCGACTGGCTGCATCGTCCTTGATCAGACAAGCAAAGTAACTTGGGTCATGACTGTTGTGAATGAGTTTGTGAACATGTTGAGGCTTACACTCGAAGATGCTGGAACAGATCAGTGGATCCCATTGTTGACTTTTCCCCGGTTCAGGTTCACATCTCAGTCCAGAGGGCAAAACATAAAGCCGGACTTGCTTGGTACCAGGCTCCCTTTTGGAGGACTGCCCACTGAGCCTTCGCACCTCTGCCACGACCCAGGGCAGCATGGGCATGGTGGTCAGAGAATGCACAGGCAGAGAGCCCACCAGCTGAAGGCCAAAGTCCACTGAGACCTCGTTAGGAAACGGATGCTTCCTCACTGTGAATGTTATTGGTTCCATCTTGGGAAGGGTCTGGAAACTCAGCAAAACGTTGCCACTGTTTTCTATTTTAGACCAAGCAATCTATTTTATGTGCTTCTGATGCAGAATCCTAGGGGAGAAAAACAGACACATTAGAATTTAATGAAGTCACTGCAATAGCTACTTTCAAAGAGTTATTATTTCAGAGTTTCTTAAAAGTCTGAAACCCAAACACAGGAAGAAATGAATATTAGTTTGAATAAGCCATTCTGGTTAGAAAGAGCCTTCCTAAAATTGTATTTCATATAAAACCTGAAAATGCCATAACTGTTACACTCATTACGGGTTACAAAGATCCCACCGGGAAACTCCTGTTAAATGTAAGCGGCATAGAGCCAACAAAGGCAAGCATGATAGAAAACAATATAATGCTACCTGGATAGCTTTAAACCCTGTTGTATTAGTTAACATATATTTCAAGGAATTTTTTTAAGATAAGCAAATTCACTACTGGTGACTCCCCCCAAAAAAGTAATTTTGCAAGAAAAAAATATCAGCTATCTATCATCATAGTCTACTGAACCAGGCCAGCTGTAAACAACTGACTTTATTACTTAGGATAACATTTAAGTTTTAAAAGGCTCTCCCTGACATAGACAAGAGGGTCGGAATCACAAATTCAAATTCCAAAAACATGTACTCAGTGCCTATTATGTTCCAAACACCGTCACAAATATTGTCTTGTTGAATTCATGAACTATAAGCCATCACCCCAACAATTTGCTCCTCTTCCTCAACAGCGGATGTTGTTTCTACTAGGCTCAAACTCTCTCAACTGCCTTCCTCTCTCTATGGGTGACTTTCAATGGGTGTATCCCAATGCCTTCCTGTCCATTGGATGATAAAACCCTTCTGTCCAGAGCTGAGCTGTCGACAGGGTCTCAAGCACTATTCTTTACTCATTTGCTCCCTGGGTCTTCATTTTCTCATGTATTCCCTGAGCATGTACACAGGTGCTAAGGAGAAACTCTATGAAGGCAAGGATCACATCTGCCTGATTCACCATTTTATCCCCCGTGCCTGGCACAGCGCCTGACTCAAAACAGGCTCAATAAATATTTTAAAGGAGTGAATGAAGTCTCTCCCATCCTAAAAAAAAAAAGATATTTTCCCTTGACCTCAAACATCCCCCAGTCATAATTCTTCCCTACACAAATTTCTTTAAGGTAAAGTCTAGACTATCCCCACTTCCTACTGCCCATCCACAATCTGGATTGTAACTCGAAGCACTGAGGAACCACTGAAATTGCTCCCATCAAGGTTGCCCACATCCTCTGGTTGTGAAATCCAAAGAGGGCTTTTTAGTCCTTTACTGCCTTGTCCTCTCTGATGAATTTCTCGATGTTGACCACTCCTTCCTGCTTGAAACTCTTCTGGTTCCCATCTTACCTCTCTGATTGCTTCTTTTCAGGTTCTTTGATGGCTTTCTTCCCTGCTTGACATCATCCTCTCCCCTCATTCCACCCGCTTTCTTTGGACAGTCTTACCTAATCTGTTGGTGTCAACCACCACATTCTAACACTCTCGCTGCTGCTGCTGCTGCTGCTGCTGCTGCTGCTGCTAACAGCTCACTTTTATGGAGTACCAGGCACTTTGCATGTGTTAGCTCATTTCACCTTCATAACCACCTTCACCCCTAACCTTAGTCTCAGAGACTACTATTGTTGCCCTTTTTATAACCTAGGAAACTGAGGGCTGGAGAACTTGAATTGCTTGTCACAGGTGATGTGGGAGAGCTTGCTCCTTATTCTCAACCCATCCTCTTCAGTGCTGCACAAGAATGCATCTACCGCATACACCCTGATGATTCCTAAGTGTTTGTCTCCCATTGAAGTCTCTTTCTTCCTGAGTACCAGGTCAGCACAGGCCACTAAATATTTCTATCTGGATAGCCTATAGGCACCTCAGTCTCAATTTAGTTATTTTAAAACTAACTCAGTCTCACCTCTCCCCTTCCCAGAACTTCTCTTCCTTCCTATGAGCTATATCTCTGGGAGAAGCATCACTATTTACTGGCCAAGTCAAAAGCCAAGGAGTCATTGCTATACACTAGATGTCTGTGTCCTAGCCACGTTCATACGTTGAAACCTACTCCCCAAGGTGATAGTATTTGGAGGTCGGACCTTTGGGAGGTGAAAAGGCATGAGAGTGGAGCCCTCATGAATTGAATCAGGGCACTTATAAAAGAAATCCAGAGAGCTCCCTTGCTCCTTCCACCATGTGAGGACACAGGGAAAAGACAGCAGTCTATGAACCAGGAAGCAGGCCATCACCAGACACTGAATCTGCCAGCATCTTGATCTTGGACTTCCCAGCCTCCAGAACTGTGAGAAATAAGTTTCTGTTGTTTGTAAACCATCCGGTCTATGGTATTCTGTTATAGCAGCCTGAAAAAACTAAAATAAGTCATTCAGATTCCTTCTTCATCCTATCATCACTTCTAAACTGACTCTTTGTCTTAATGTGGCTTATCTTTTCTCAACTGGAGAAAAGATGCCCAATCTTCAGTTTATCCTTCACATATTTTTCCTAGAGTAATTTAACCAACACACAAAATTCATCATGTCACTTCTCTGCTAAAAATTCTTTAATAACCGCCCCCATAACATCTACTACATGGTACATAAGGTCTCTTCAGAATCTGGTCCTGTCTACATCTCCAACTGCACCTTTTGGCTCTGAAGATAGAGAACTAGTTGTGGTTCCCATGTGAGATGTGATTTCTCATGCCTCTGTGCCACAGTGCATACTGTTCCTCTCTCCCAGGAACATAACACCTGTCACAAACTGCACAGTGTCTGAGGTTTTACCCTACTTGCAAGGTAACAAGTTAGCCTGCCACAAGGTAGCCTGCTGGTAGAGTAATCGTCTGAGACAAAGGACGATGTATTACTCAGAGCAACAGCAGTAGCCAGAGAGTCAGCATTTGTGTCAGCTCCCTGACCCCCAATTCCCACAGGCCGGGTGACATCTGTATTCACACTGGGTTACAGGAGAGGCGCCTAAGCTTTGGGAGCCCAAATAGTTTATAATGGGGAGTAAGCATGTCTGCCCTTCACTCCAGAGGGAGACTCTATATCTAGCTTCCATGGCTGCTTGCGATTTAAAAAAAAAAACAAAAATATAGTTCAGAACAAAGGCAGTTAGTGTCTCTATTCACAAAATGTATAGAAACAGGAGAGACCCACGGAGAATCATCTCCCAATGATCTCTTCTCTTGTCCTCTAACCTAATTCCAACTCATATTTAAGTCATAGCTCAATCAACTGCCACCTTTCTCGCAAGGTGATGTAGGGCATCCATCACCACATCCTCCTGCATTTTGCATCTAGTCATCATATTTATTTTAAGAGTTTGAATAGATGTCCCTCAACCAGACTATAAGCTTCTTAAACTCTTAAGGTTTGGGATTTCTAAAACCAGTACTGAAATTCTAAACCTTTTCTGAAATAGAATGGAAGGCTGTTCTTTTTACTCTATGTTTTTATGCTAAGAGTGAATTTTTATCATTTGAACACAGCTCAGAGATAATTTTTTAATTTAAATATTCAATATTTCAGAAATAAACCCATACTTTATTTAGAGCTCCAACGTATTTCATGAAAGTGTATTCCCTTGTCTCTTTTCCTTTAAAGTACAGCTTCCCTTGACGATGAAAACAGACTTGAAGTTCATATAACCCCATAAATAATGGTCTCTCTCTCTCTAATTCCTTTTTTCTCTCTCTGACCTACCAGTGAAAGTGGCATTAAATGTCTGGCTCAACTTCCACTCCTGTAACTGAATCTGTTTCAAGTTCTAACTGTTGACAGCTAGTAATCCCAAGACATGTTTAAAGTACTAGAATTATTACAAAGGATAGACCTGAGATCTATCCATTAGTGTAGATGAGGCAGTTATTAACACGGTGGCAATTAGCGTAGTAGAATTACTTTCACTTTTCTTGTAAGGGAATATATACATAGTGCAAAAAAGTTACACAATTTAGTCATTTGTTAAATAATTAGTCATCAAATTAGTTCTGCTATTTCACTGACAAAACTATTTGAATGTCTAAAGTTTTCACTTTTCAACCAGCTGGGGCATAGTCTTAGTTTCTCTGTAAAAAAGTAGATTGGACCTTAACACAGTTTATAAACTATCAAATAATAAGTTCTACCTCAGACATAGCCATAATTATTTATAAGCAATTCAGATTCTGCTGATATAAGATTCATAGTAACTTAGGCTAGGTGAATAACTGTATTACTTTTCAATAAAAAGTTCCCTGAAACAGATGAACTATTCAAATAATACTAACAAACCATTAGTTTATTTTGTAAGCCATCTCAGTCCACATCATTTGCATGCAACCTCTGACCATCCTTTAAGCCCAAGGTAGAACCACCTATTCCAAGAGGCCTCTTGTGCCTCATACCATCAGTAAGAAATACTATGATCTATTATTCTAGTGAGCTTCTAGTTATGTTCTTGTTAGTAGAGCCATCTGTGTACAGGCCTATCCCTTAGAGAGAGTGTCTGTATGCTATACAACTCCTACCTACCACAGTCCATAAACATGGTAAGTACCCAAAACACAAAGATACTCTTATTAGAACAGTTTCAATAAACTTGCTAGTGAGTCCTGCCATGCTAAATATCCCTTGAAGCATGCACTTAGAATCATAAAATTTTTAAGCTAGAAAGGTCCTTTTAAGTCATTTAGAAATTTCCCTCATATTTGAAATGTAGAAACTGGTTCTGGAGAAGTTAAGGGGCTTGCCCAAGTTTGGTGACAGAATTAGGATAATCCAAGTCCCTGACTCCAACCCAGTGCTTCAAAGAACCTCAGTTTCCTCATGAAAACACTTTCAAGTGTGAAGTTGAGAAAGCCAGTTACTTAACTGCTCCAAATCTCAAGTTTATTCTTATAAGAGAATGGAACAAAATCATCCCCAAGTTTTCTTCTCTCTCTAAAATCTGGTGAATATGAATCTAATACTCGTACTGTATAACACCAAATGTCCCCGACATTGTGTGGGAATAGAAAGCTGCTCTCATCTTCCCGTCAAGAATATAAATGTGGG